TGTGTGTGTGTGTGTGTGTGTGTGTGTGTATAAGAGAGAGAGTATTTATTTGCATACATTTTGCCTCTCTTCCAGTTTGTGTGCCTAAACAATTCTACTCTGTGGACGAGTGTGTGTGTGTGTGTGTGTGTGTGTTTGTTTAGCCCGTGCAGAGACAGTTTGCTTATGTCTGCATGCGTTAGTGTGTGCGTGTTAAAGCCACACTCTCTTTCTCTTCAGATAAGCAGAATTATTTATTGAAATGTTGAGAAGCAGCATTTTTCTCCTCTCTTGGTTGAAGCTTTAAATCTGCTGACGCCCGGTCAGAGATGCATCCAAAATGCATCGAACTGCTTTAGTTTGATAAAGAGGAGGTTTTAGACGATGTGCAGGTGTCAGGCCTCTCAGGATTTTTCATTAATGGGTCCGTGCGAACTCTACTTCCTGTTCAGTTCCAGCTTATTGCAGCAGTTCTGACAAATATTGAACTCAAATCTTATTTCATAACGGCTGAGCTTTGTCTTTTGAAAGTGAATCATCAGTCAATTGAGAAGGAACTGTTACAAGTCAGCCTTAAACGTAAAGGAACATACCAGTAGTAGTGCATGTTTTATGGAATCTTCAGTAATTTTACCATGACAATCGATGTATTATAAACTTTAGGGCTGCAACTAGCAATTATTTATCAGTCTTCTGATTGTATTCTTGATGAATTGGTTACTTGTTTAGTCAAAAAAATATCAGAAAGTGAAACATTTTAATTTCCCAGAGCTCAAGTTGATGAATTGCCTGTTGTGTTTGGTCTAAAACCCAAACATATTCTGTTTCCTATCAAAGAAGACAAAAACCCGGCAAACGTTCAAGTTTTAGAAGCACAAACAAGATATTTTATAAAAAATGTTGGTTAAAAAATATTAACAGTTAAACAATCATAAAAATGATGCTTAAATGTTAAATGTTGCTTATTGATTTTCTGTTGATTAATCGATTAATCGTCTAATTATTATAATTTTTTTTACTGTAAATCTGTTAGCTACCAGGTTTTATTTTCTTAATTTCACCCTCCCAAACACCTTTTTCTGCTCATTTTTTGTCAGACATTGACTTGGTTCAAGAACAGAAATTCATAATTTTTCGAAATCTGCTGCAGCATCCATAAATGGATTGTTGGCTTTGGGGGGAAAACACTAATGAGCTAATGTATGTTATCAGAACATCAACTCTAGAGGCGCATTTGTGCATAAGGAAAAAGATGCTCAAATGTTGATTTTTTTTTTTAAAGTGTGAATTTCTGGATGGTTTGGCAGCAGACTCTCAAACCACAGATGTTTCGAACATCTTTGAACACCACACAGGACAGTTTTGAACACAGTCTGTGCTCACAGCTACGATAAAATGTGACAAAAATATAAAGGTGATCATTTTCTTTCTGTGATGGAGAATGACCTCTCTCAGGCTCCTTTGATTTCACTGTAAGTCAGTTTTCACACCATACAGAATTGAACTGAAACCAGCGTATAAATAAAGAAGTAACTGTTGGTATGATTTGGATAATTGTTTACAGAGATGCATTTTATGCAAATTAAGCCAAACCACCAGCATGGTCGCACAATTCAGACGGGAAGAGAGTTCATCAGAAGGTAAAGCGAATAAGGGGTTGACAAAGAGAAAGAGACTGGGCAAGCGAAACAGTTCTATTTGCTTATGTCTCTCTCTCTTTCCCTCTTTGTGTTTCTCTCTGAATAATGTAATATCCATGCAGGGGTATGTGGGTCAGTGGGGCTTTACTTCCCCTGGAGACCAGAGCCACACCCCAACACACACTCTCACACGCTTACTTAATTCACTCACTGAGCCCTGACTCCTGCGCCTGTCTGCCTCGCTGGTTAACTCGCCGTGTGACGTCATACATTTTTCATAAAGTCTGCGTTGTTCCGTCAATATTTTATATCTGGTATCGACAGGCGAGTGAGAGTCCACTGCAAGGAGTTACTGCTCCCTCTCCTCTCTACTCTTCCCCTCCCTCCCCTTCCCTTCTCCTCCCTCCATCCCTCTCTGGCCTGTAATTAAATTAGCTCTGTCTGCGGATGACAAAGGGCCAGTCATTCGGGCTCTGCTTAGATAGCAAGTAGCTGCACTTAGAGCGGATATGAAGTTAAGGAGGAATGCGCTGAGCTGAGCTGAGCTGAGCTCAGTGCTGCTCTCTGGGTTTCAGGGGAAGAAGGAGGCAGAGAGGAGGACGTGTGGGTCCAGATCAGACTAAGGCTCTGGATGAGCTGAGACCAGACGGAGAATAAACCTTCCTGCCACTGTGTCTGTCAAACTCTGACTTTTACTGCAGCCAGCAGCCATGCAGGATTGATGACTGTGTTGGGTTGATATCACATCTGTTTATTTAGTTTGCTTCATCAAGGCTGAGAGTAACCATTATTCTTGCAATCGAATCATCTGCAGATTCTTTTTGTGATTAATGAATTTATGGTTAATGCCTGAAAGTTGTTAAAAAAGGTCAATCGCAACTTCCCAGAGCCTAAGTTGACATATTAAATTGCTTGTTTTTTCCCAGAACAATAGTCAAAAAACAGATATTCAGTGTACTGTAACAGACGACGATATAAAATGGTCAAATATTCACATTTCAGGAGCTGAAACCAGCATATTTTTGCCATTTTTGCTTAAAAAATGATGGCCCATTAGTTTCTGTCAGTCGGCTAATAAATTAAATGATTTATCGTTTCAGCTCTACTATACCAATTGACATCTTTGTGAAATGAATGTGCCAGATTCAGACAAATGGCTCATTTTTATCTGCAACTAATGGGCAGCTTGAATGAAACGGCAGGGCTGGATACTGAATCTCAAAGCTTTTATGATACTGACTTTGACGTGTCTTAATACAACCATGAAAACTGTAAAGTACTAAAAGTTGGTGTTGAATGTTAGGTCAGATCCATAATACCGTTCATAATATTCTTTGATTAAAAAAACCTAAATAACCTGTAAAAACCGGCACACAGTCCGTCCAGCCTCACAGGACAAACACATGCCTAAAGTCTCTGAGGTTCACTTCTGGATAGGGTACGGTTGATTTTATGTGTTTCATGATATAGTGCAAATTTAGAGAGATTTTAAACATTTGAGAATCCAATTTCACTGACCATGTGTCTCAGCCTTGTGTTGAGCGGACACTGTTCCAATCCTCTCTCCTACAAAACATGGTGTTCACTCCTTCCAAACCTCATCTCATGCAGGGATAAAGAATAACTTCTCGAGATCTGATGTACGGTGAGATTTAAACTGCTTAAACTCTAATAAACTCCAGCCCAGTTCCAGGGCAAATGTTATCTCACATCACAAAGTCTGTTAATGGCGCAGCGAAACCTCACCCAGGCCTGGAATATGGTGTGATGCATGATAGGAACAATCACAAATATGAAACCAGCAGGGAAATAAAATCTAAACGAATAAAGCAAAAGGAAAAAATGACAGAAAAAGACAAAATGCTAACTCCCATCTCCTCTCAGTATGTTTGTTTGTTTGTTTGTTTGTTTGTTCCTGCTGACGGACCTTGTTGTCTTGCCTTTTTTTTTTGTTTGCAGTGCTTCCCACCTGCTCGCCGCTGGACTTCCACTGCGACAACGGAAAATGTATTCGTCGCTCCTGGGTGTGTGACGGGGACAACGACTGCGAGGACGACTCCGACGAACAGGACTGTCGTGAGTACACTTCTTCTCTCTTGTCAACACAAACACGCAAACAAACAGCGGCGGCCACATTGATATGCGCCGTCTCACACACTCTCTCGACCTGCCCTGTCAGGCTCAGGGGGATGAGTTATTAAAGTGGACAGATGTTGAGGCAGCCGTGTGCAATGAGGTGTTTGTTTTGAGTCTAAAGGAGTTGCCTGGCTCTCACACACACACACACTAGCGAGAGGTCAGCACTCCCACGGTCAACACTCTCTGACCTTTGCCCTTTGTTTATCCTGTTCTTCTTTTGATTTGTGGAGCTGTGTGTGTGTTTGTGTGCTTGTGAATGAGTGTGTGTTCAACCCGAAATACCCCTCAGCTGCTTGCAAGGCAGAAAGTGGCCGGCAGTGCGTAGAGTAAGGAGTGTCTATTTCAGCAGCCGTATTTATATATCTGTGCATTGCTAACTAGTGGGTAGGTCTGTGTCCCCTTTAAAAGACTAGAATTACGTTTATGTTAAGTTTTGGTAAAATAATGCGATTGTGAGGCCGTGCATCACGTCATCATGACAAGTGTAGAAGTGCAAATGCGTGTGCGTTGTACCATTGGTCAGGGTGGAGTTAGTGGTCAGATTCTGAGAACACATCATCCACTTTTAGTCTCTGTATTTACCCACAGTGACTCAGAAGGCTCCGCATGTGCAGTCTGATCCGTGTGGATGTACACAGCGCACCAGTCATTCCATCGCACTCGGTTTGGTGATTCAGTTTAATCACACTTAACACTGTGCAGGGACCGGAATAGTTACAGCGGGTGGCGTGTTTCTGATGGAGACAACGCACGGCACAAAGAGTCAGGCATTGTTGTTTTAGTGACTAACGTTTATCTAAAAATCAATACAGGGTCTTTTTTTTTTTCCACAGTCACAGAAAAAAGTTTTAAAGGATTGTCAATCACTAACATGTTGCTTAAGTCGTAACGTTTCAACATCAGTAATTGTTTTGTTGTTTGATATTGTAGATTTAATAGCAGTTTAGCCTTTAACTAGATCGTTTGTTTAAATATATTTTTGAGCTGGTTTGATTGGCCGATACAAATGAATGTTGGTTAGAGACTCAAAGGAATGCTTTGACATTTCAGGAAATATGTCCATTCGCTTATTTGCCAAAGGGGATGACATGGAACCTGAGTGGATCACAAAAAAACATGCATTTATTTTGATAGGACAGACAGGAACACATCGCATTCTATTGTGCGATACCGGCCACAGACCACGGAAAACCGGGGAGACGAAGAGTGGGGGAGGGGGAATGACACTGCAGCAAAAGTGGTCTTGGGCCTTATAGAGCACTCACAACGTTTCCTGTTCTCCAGTCCTCTTCCTCTCTTCTCATCCTCATCTCAATGTACTTTCTGAAGTGATGCCCTAAGTTCTCGTTCTGAGCCCCCCCGAGTAACGCCTGAATATTACGTAATTAGTACAGACAGAATGCCTCAACCCTTCTATCGAAACTGTCGGAGTTGCCACCTGCCGACTTCTAAACGTTTAGTGTCGTCCAACATCGCGTGCGTCTCATTTTTTAAGATACCTCAATGCATGCACTTGTCGTGTTGGACAAGTGATGGACAAGTTTTGACCTTGGGATTCAGAGGATGCACCAAAGGCCATTCAGGAATTTATTCCTGTGGTGATGATGAATGTTTCCTGAAACTATCATTTCAAGTCCGTTGAGGATTTGTCAGATACCCTTCCCTCTCTGGAACCCCAAAAGTATCTCCAGCCTGACAGTCCAAACAAAAGACCGTTGCTGTCCCATCAACGCCACGTGTACTGTGTGCCCTCGCAAAACCCACTAAACACCCAACTTCTTTAAAAGCACCTTGGATAAATCTTTGATGAAGTTCACCACCGCTACATCCTCACTCCGACATTTTTCATTTTCATTGTTCATTTCTTCTCCATTGATTGTTTTCCATAGGAATCCTGTTGTGTTCATACTCTCCAGGTAGTGTGTGTGTGTCGGTCGTCGGCTGTTGTCCGTCCTGTGACACCAGCAGATCTCACCCCAGGTTACCCGCAGCCCCACCCCCAGCTCCTTCCCTTCCTGAATGATCTTTTCCTTATCCGTCTGGTCATCCACGTGTTTTTCTCCGTCCTCCTCTGTTGACCACATACTGTATGCAGGACACCAGAATTGAATCTACTTCCTGATTGGCGTCTGTCTGCTGCGAGCGCCAGCAACTTGAATTTCCCATCTTTATGCCGCAGTTAAATTCCCTCCCCTCCTTGTTTCCCGCAAAACTACTCATATATCTCATGATTTTTTTTGTACGCCCCCTGGTCTGTCTTTCAAACCCTCCCAATATATTCTTGTTTTCTCCCGCGCCCGCGGATCAGTGGTTTTATCTTCATGTATTTCAGAGACCGGGGAGACAATCCTCGCACGCTCCGGCGGAACTGAAGCAGTTGTCAAAAACTTTCAGACAAACCAACCACACCCGACGACAGACGGTGCTGTCTGGTGTCGGATTCGCGTGTGTGTCTGAACAGGCCGCACCTACCCTTCTGAATTCTTAAGTTTAAACAGAAATTTCACCAGAAAACACCACCCATTACACTGATTTTCGACCACCACACACACACACACACCACATACATGCAGGGAGGCTAGTAATGGACCGTGCCCCTTCTGCCCTTTCGCCCTTTGACTTTGGGCGGGGGCGGGGGGGGGGGTGGGCTGCTGTGCTGAATGATAGAGCATCGTTGAGGGCTTTGTTACCCTCCCGACTCGCTCTGTTACCCTCGCCGATGGCGACGGGAGACGGGAGCGACTGCGACAAAATGGAGAAGAATCACTTAATTGTTCCTTAGCAACTTGAATACATAGATTCAAAATGAGTTATTTGTCCGAGTAGTCGAAACTTTAATTCTTCAAAAATTTCGGACCTTCCTTGTTGGGCGGTTTGTGGTTTTAAATCCTTTTCTTTTCTGGGGCCGAGGGCGCGCAGCCCGGCGTTTGTGGATGACGGCCGAGGCGGCGGGCGTGAATACTGCATTGTATCTGTACTGTTTTTGGCCCGCCAGCTAGATCCTCCAAATTCGCGATAAATCGGAATGCCAAATATGTTTGGGAGGTAACAAATAAATGCACATTCCTAATTTCATTAGTAATCTGCCTAGCTGTTCAGCAGACCACTGACCCAGTATACACACCTCTTTTAATAGAACCCATATTTAAGAACCATTTTACTAAGAATTCCTTTCACTAACTGCAAGCAACTATTGGGCCGATATATCATGTGTAATGTCGTATGCTGTAGTCACTATGTGTATGTGTATGTGTATATATGTATGTGTATGTGTATGTGTGTGTATATATATATATATATACATTTTTTTTTAACACTTAAACCGTGATATTGGTATCAACCTATTATGGAGTTATGGAGATATATAGATATTGTATAAATATATTGTTCACTATTGTTTTTTTTACATTTCCTCTAAACTATTTTTGTAAGGCAACCTAAAATTCACTCATTATATAAAACATGATACAGATCTTCTATGCTAGTTGTTTTGTTCAAGGGCATGAACAAATATCCCCTTTCCCCAGTCTATAGCGAAGGTCTACAGTACATTAACATACACACCCACACACACACACACACACACTCACACCTAAACACACTGTGGAGCCTCATGTCAATCATCTAAGAAATGGAGTGTATCTCCAGCAGCCTTGACTCGTGCAGTGATGCTGCAACACACCAGAGAAAAGATGAAAAATCTTGCTGAAATAAAGAGAAGCTTCTTCTTCTCCGTCTTTCCCTCTCTTCTGTGGGCATCCTTCTGTTTCTGTCTCTCCTTATCTCTCTCTGTTTGCCTCAGCTGTCCAACACTCACACACGGCAGTGATAAATTATAGATTACCTCCTGCCAGGGGCCATCCATCATTGGTTCTCCTTGACAGACCTGTGTACTCGGCCCCAGGCGAGCGCGGCTGGGCCTTGCCATCGATTGCGGTGGTAACAGTAGAAGGCGGTGTTTTGAAAATCCATTCAGTCTTTTATCAATGGAGGTGTGATTAAAGAAGCAAGGTGGAGGAGTTGTTTGGATAAATGAAAGGGTTTGAAAGTGTCAATGTCATAGTGCTGAAAGTTCACCAGAGGGAGGCACTTCTGTCTAACTGCATTGTCAGGGCTGTTTGGATGAATGACAAATGTGTCTTTTATCTCCAGTCTCAAGGTTAACTGTCTAGTGGAACAACATTTCCTAACATACAGAAGCCAGTATATTTAATTAAGCCATAAAACAAGCTGCTCAGGTTCAAGAGATTAAACCAGTTTAAAAGTCAAAACTGGTTTAAGATTTATAGATTCCTGAAAATGACTTTTTACCCTTTTGGACCTGTCTACGTTGCCCATTATACACTTAAATGCTAATTTTTTCTTGCCTGATTTTGGTTAAATAGTGTTTGGAACATACAGAGCATATGATAGACAGTGAAAATGAGGATTGTGCGTAAGTGTCTATATGATCTGTACAAACAAACCAATAAGACATCAGTGAGATATTTTTATATATTTTATTATTATATTATATTCTTATTGCCGCCACCGCCTGCCACTGGGTCGGATTCAGTCGGGTTCGTCCACAGGGAGAACCAGAATCAACACAAAATGAAAGCTCTTTGTAGCTGCTTTAAGCTGTTGTTTGAGATGTCTCTATGGATGTTTTAATTATGTTTTAGTCCAAGCTTGTCGCTATTGGTGTCTGTGGGACCAATATATATTGAAGCTGGCCACAGCCTTTGTACTACTGAAGGATGAATCACCAAAGTTTTTCCAGCCACCCGTTGAGGTGGTTTGGTTTCATGTGTTTTTGTTAAGCATTTGTTACACATCTTGGAAAAGTGCTGTATAAATAAAAGTATTATTATAGCAAAAGTTTTCGCTCTGATCAGTGACCGTGGAGACAACCACACACACACTCTCAGTAGGACTTTACTCAGCCTTCCTCCTCGCTGTGTTGCAGTAGCTGTCGATGAGACGTCTTATGTGCTGAGATCGAACCACGGGATATTCAGTCTGTGAGTCTTTGAGCTCCAGACCTGCAGCCTCGGGAGAGTTGAGCTTGTTTACGGAGAAAAAAATCTCTGTTTTCCTCTCCTGAGCTCTTTGCTCTGAGCTTGACGTAAAAGGTCATAGTTTCCCTGGTGTCAGTGCAGCTGTGAATATAATGCCAGCAGAGCTCAGGGATGGCTGCCTCTTATCTAATTCTTGTACAGTATCTGCTCTTTGCTTTTGTCTCCTCATTATTTCTTTCTTCTTCTCTCTGCAGCTCCCAGGGAATGCGAGGAAGATGAGTTTCACTGCCAAAATGGCTACTGTATTCGCAGCCTCTGGCACTGCGATGGCGACAACGATTGTGGGGACAACAGTGATGAACAGTGTGGTGGGTACACGCACAAACACCAGCATGCAAGCACATATTCTTTCACGCGGCCTTATAAATATGACTTTTTGAGTTCGTTTTTGTTGTTTTCTCATTCCAGACATGCGTAAATGTTCGGACAAGGAGTTCCGCTGCACAGATGGCAGTTGTATTGCTGAGCACTGGTACTGTGACGGAGACACAGACTGTAAGGACGGGTCAGACGAGGAAAACTGCCGTAAGTTATTCTGAGTACTTGCATGCATGCATCTTTTTCTCTCAGTTTTGGGCGTTCGCCCACACGGACCCAGTGTTTTTATACATGGCCGATCATTCAGTACAGATGTTGAAACATCTAAACGTTTATCCTTTCATAAGCCTAAAATAGAAGGTTTGATCGGGGTCTCCATTTCTGTCCCACAGATTATTTAATTGAGGTAACATTTACACGTGATCCATTCTTCTCACAACATAAAGAGACACGCTTCCTTTTGGGGGGGACAAAACAGCCACTTTCAGCTGAGCGTTGACATAAGAGTGTCATTTTATAATTGGGGTCAATTCAGATTTGTTGGCTACAGCTAAAACATCCGCTAAAGCTTTTCTGCCCATCAATCAATGTGTTTACATGCACACCATGGCTGTTGTTGGCTTATAAAAGTCATGTAAATGAGAAATCCAACATGCTATAAACGTAATGGAATCCTGGGTAACATTGCTGATTTTTTTAAACTGGGTTTCTAAAGGGGGTTTATAAGAGTACACGTTTTCCACAAAGACTTCAAACAGGGAACTTATCTCTGTGGCAGCAGAGTGGTTCGTTGTTGTATCCATAATGAAATACAAAAACTGAAATAAATGATTTCCACATCCGAACATTGTGTTATTTGTAAAATTCAAACAGGACAAACTGTCAGCTTCCCCACAAGAGTGTTATCTCTACAACGTCAGTCCAGACTCAGACCTCCACAGGCATCGTGATTCTAACTATTGTCGCAAGAAGGGGAGAAATCTGCTTACTGACTAGCTGCATTTAAACTAAGATCTTACTGTAACAAGTTTACTCCAGAGCATGTAAACACATTTACTGTCTTAATAGAGAGCTGTGCTTCATTTCATGTATAGCTTCTGACAGCTTCAGCAGAGAAGAGTTAAAGCTTCAAAGAACCTCAGACAGCCAACTGCTGCACCATCTTCCTTCTGGCACCAGCATCTGTTTAACTGTCCGTGTGTGTGCGTGTCTGTGCAGCCTCAGATGTGATGGCAGCCACCTGCAGCGTGGAGGAGTTCCAGTGCGCGTACGGCCGCTGCATCCTGGACATCTACCACTGTGACGGAGACGACGACTGCGGAGACTGGTCGGACGAGTCGGACTGCTGTAAGCACTCCATCACTCGCACACAAACAAACTTTCCAACATTGACTTCAGGTGTCTGTTAACCTCGAACCTCATAGGAAACCACACTCTATTGTTATGGCCCATATATTAGTCTAGCTCTGATTTGAACTTTTATCCTTTCATTAACAGCCCTAAAACTAGCCAAATGTGAGCTTTAGACTATCTCTTGGCAGAAATATAGATTTATAGAAATTGTATCACCTCACAAATTTTAACTTTGAAGAGCTAAAATGCAAACTTGGTGGAAGTCCAAGAAATAAACAAAGCATGTTGTTACAGTGGCGTGACTGATTCAGCCTGTCCTGCTGGTGTAACGCTTACAGTGAGCTGCTGTTATCTGCTTACACACACATGGGCGCAGATAAACACACAAGATGAAGCTCCCCTGGGAGATCAGTCCTCTGTTATGCTGTTAGATGAGAGTAAAGTTGCCTCTCTCCCTCTGGCAGATGTCTTAAAACAGCGAGTCATCCTCATGTCCTACAGCTTACTGCGCTAGTTCAACTGGAGTTTAAAACTGTGAAGAGGAAGTTTTAGGCATTAATCCTTTTTTAGCGGTTGCACCAAAGGACACTTGCTGACTGAATACGCTTAGAGGATCTAAGGGTGGGTGTAAAATCTCATTGAAAGAGGTATGGTACGTAACAGGGCTGCAACGAACTATGCTTAATCGACCGAATTGTTTAGTCTGTTACGTCAGAAATAAACACTAATTTCAAGTTTTGTTAGCCTAAGGTGACATGGTGAAATAGCTTGTTTTGTCTGGCCAACAGTCCAAAAAGCTAAAGATAGTCCATTTACAGTGAGAAAAGAAGCAAATCTTAACATTCGTCAAGCTCGATCCGCTGCAAATCTGCTCACCCACGACACCCACGCAGTCTATGTGAAGCAGAATATTACTAACTTCGCCTGTTTAGTCATATATATTTGATACTATGCACAAATACTGAAGATTTGAAGTCATGGTTTTGGGTGCTTTTAAGAGATGTCAAGCATCGCGTGTTTTCATCGCAACATTTAGTGTCGACTTCATGGTTTTAACTCGGTGGACGTCAAGTTGAGATCAGGAACAGCTGTTGTGTCGCAGGCCGCTGCTCCACAGCATCTGTCAAAACTGGAAAACACTCTGTCTGTTAGATCTTTTCTGTCACTGTATCACACTCACACACTCACACACAAACAGAGTGAGGCAATGGTCCTGATTAACACAGACTATCATGTTTCGCTCTCCTCACTCCAGAGACGCTGCCTGCTGCTGACAAATCTCTCAGCATCTCCCTCCTCGTTCTCCCGTCTCTGATTTCTCACATGTTCGTTTCATTTGCTCATTGTCTATAATCGCCTACCACACATCTCTCACGCTCACACACACTCACACACACTCATGCACAGTGGGTTCCCCCTTTGATGTGTTTATCTGCAGTGCGATAGGCACAGCTTCAAGGCTTTGTAACATCGTTTGGTCATGTTAGTCGACTGAGCTGCTCTCTGTTTCTCTCTCTTCTCCTCCCACATCCAGGTTTTTTAATTGCTTCCTCACTGCTGAGGTGTTAAACATTTTTTAGGGAAAGTTGAGCTGGCATCAAAGCTTTAATTTTAATTTTTTTTTTTAAAGTAAAGGCCGTGTATGTCTTAGAAATACTTAAAATATCTGCAGTGAAAACTCTGCAGCACATATCAGATTCAGATTAACCAGGAATTGTGCAACACAAGTGCGCAGACGCACACACACCGTGCTTTGTGTGGTCTTTAAATACAGTCTTAAATGATACAGATTAAAGAACAAACAAATAAAATGCCTCAAAGCCTGTAAGTAGTCTGTCTTTTTCACTCAACAGTCACAGGGTTCTTTGCACTTCATGTTCCAAGGTTAATAGATCAATCTACATCCTGTCTGATGTACTGAAAACAGCTGGACCTAATGTCCCCTAACTGTTCATTTCCTGCTGTCCTGTACTCCCAAACTGCCCATTTTTTTTTGCTACTTATTTTTATTTAATGTTAGTTTTGACCAGCATTCGTTCGGAATTAGAGTGTTCCCTAACGTTTTTTTTTTTTTGCGTTTAAAATCTTAGTTCCATTAATGAAGTGTTTTGAAAACAATGTCTGAAGATGTGCTGGCTTTCTGAAACACACAGATAGTTTGTGGGCATGCACGCACACACACACGCACACACGGAGGAGGCATTCCTCAGAGGCATAAGACAGCCCATCTTCAGACGGCATTCCTTGGCATGGACTCTCCAGACACATGAAGGGTGCTTTGTTAGAAGAAGAAGCCTCCCTCTCTCGCTCTTTCTCTCTCTCTTGCTCTCTCTCTCTCTCTCTCGCTCTGTTGCTGTCTCGCTCTATCTCGCTCTGTCTCTCTCTCTCTCTATCTCTCTTTCTTCCCTC